CTCTATCACACAAAATAGCCAGCCCAACAACAACCACAAAACCGACAAACAGAAAACCAATTGAAACCGAAATGGGAGAGATAAATTTTGTTTGGTCTATTTGGTTTAGGTTATTGCTGACATGGCTTTTTTTGCCCCCTTCACAAATGCTGATGTGGATGCATGAGAAGGGAGAGAAGCCTACTTTATTGTATAAGATACTGGCAGGTTGCTGATGTCATATGGAGAAAGATTCGAACAAATCCATCATTGATCTCTCAACTCAGACACCCCCCTTAACTATGCAAACTAATCAATATTAATTTATCATTTACTAGTTAATGATTTGGGAACAATACTTTTGTGCAACGCACGTAAACGAGAGGATGCCAAGTGCCAACAACAACAAAAACAGATACCACCATCTGCCTTCCTCTCATTGGCTTCTTCTTAAACAATTCTTCACTCTTTATTATCATTTTAGGCATAGAACGGCAATGTAAAACCGTTTCTTGAAATATTTTCAACTGTGTGTTCTCGACTTATGATGCAACTAAAGTAGCGAGACAGATTAACTTAAACAACACAAGAAGCCAATAAAATTTCAACCAAACGCTTTTGGTTACTCTTGATGATAAGCTCACCTGGATCAATAATTTTCAAAAATATAATATATACACAAAAAAAGTTACTTGAGAGATAGAGAGGATGCTTATTCAATTATGACATGACATTATGTCCCTTTTGGAATCTTTCAAGTATATATTTAATTATCTAAGTCATATACATCTTGAAAGTTGAAACCCTAGCTTTTGTTGCTTTAATCCAGAAACAATTAATAAAGGTGAAAAGAAAGTACATATTGGCCAGAGTCGATCGAGTACGTTGCTTGATACACTTGGACTTGACTACTACACTAGACAACCCAACCATCAGAGATTCAGGAGACTCGGGTTGGTCATTCGAATAGTAAAAGAAGAAATGTGATAATATATGGAAAAGATTCTACACGGTCGCAACCAAAGATTCCTTACATCCATCTTCTCCTCTGGATCCAGTTGTGTTTGATTCTTTCAGGCAACAAAGATTATCTCTGTCTCTATCTATCTTTGATAATATACTTGTAACTAAATGTTGATTAGTAAAGATTCAGATGTGATGAGGTCGGCTCACATAATATAATTAAAGAGAGGTTTGACCTTGTGAGCAAATTGGGTTTTTATTTAGCTTCTGACTTATCTCATTTTGGCAGCTCTCTTATTAATTTAATTTCTTCCTTGTAGTAATAATAATCAATAGGGGGGAGAGCTTTTGGCGTCTGATATTGAACAACAAAAGAGCCTATCAAACACCATATGCTTGCATCATCCCTTTTACCCAATCTCCTTGTTAACTAACTTTTCTCTATATGTCGCAGTTTGGTTCATCATATTAACCTTTTCTTTTGTCTGTATATATCCGAGCATGCTAATGCAAATGGAAGAAAGCAACAACTCAAGCGTGGTGGATTTCCCTGAAAACTTTATAGACCAACTCTTGTGGGAGGACTGCAGGGAAGAAGGGGATGCATCGCTATGGTCAACATTAGGGTTGAAGGAGAGGGTGACTTGCGCCATGGGGCACCTGCAAGAGATGATGGGAGGAGAGAAAGAGTTGCTGATTCAGCTGTGGGTTCCTGTGGAGAGAGGGAGGAGAAGAGTGCTAAGCACGGAAGAGCAGCCTTACTCGCTCTCCCAGAGCCAGAGCTTGGCCCTCTACCGAGACATCTCAGCAGGCTACAGCTTTGCAGCAGAGGTTGGATCTGACCAGCTAGTGGGACTCCCTGGGCGTGTGTTCCTGAATAGGAGGCCTGAGTGGACCCCAGATGTTCGCTTCCTCAGGAGTGAGGAGTATCTTCGCATCGGATACGCCCACAGGTATCAGGTTCGAGCCTCCCTCGCTCTTCCACTCTTCCAAGGGCCTTCTGGTAACTGCTTGGGGGTGTTGGAGATGGTCACCACTCACCCCAGCTTGGAGTATGGCTCCCAACTTCACACCATCTGCCATGCTCTTCAGGTAGTTTGGACCAATGGAAGAATTCAAAAGACTAATTTTGATGTTAATGATGCTACTAATACTTAAAGATTGGAACACTTAATGATGATGATGATTAATGGAATATTAATTAGTGGGGTTAAATAAACTTAAGAAAACAAGTTATTGAGACTTTTATATATATCAAAAACATATACATATATATATAGTTACTTGGTAATATTCTTGTCACTGCACTGTTGGAACACTGCTCAGCATTGACTCGCTCCCATTGTCTGAATGCATTAAATATTATTTGATTTGTTGACGTAAGCAACCTTTGAAGAGCTTCAATGGTTAAAACATTCGTTTGCTTTTAAATATATATAAACACTCTCTTTTTAATTTACTCACAAATCAGAATTTCGTGGCAGGCCTTTGATCTCTGGAGTTCAGAAACCTCCATCGTCCCAACCTCTCTCAAGGTTTGTTTCTTGAAAAGTTTACGTTTCTAATTACTTAGCATTTCTCTTTAATTATTTATGGTTCCTTTTTCCACTTCCACAGCCTCACTCCGACGACCCTGACGGTTTTAATCAGAGGCCGATCATTGATTCCCTAGCCTCCCAACTCAGCCTACGCTTCCAGAGCTCACCGCATCTGATGGTAGACGATCAACTCGAAGAAGAAGTCAAGGACACACACACAACAGATCACTCTAGCGAACAGCTTGTAGCAGAGGACTCATCACCGTGGATGTCACGCATGTCCCCCAAGTCTGTCTCTTGGGAGATGAAGCTGGGTGAAGGAGTGATAGAACCTTCTTTGTCTTCTTCTTCTTTGGAAAGCAGAAAGCGAAAAACAAGGGCTGAAAAGGATATCACTCTTGATAATCTCAGACAACACTTTGCTGGCAGCCTCAAGGACGCTGCTAAAAACATTGGTGGTATGCTCCTTAGTCCTTCCTCTATATATATATATATGCAAATGAAACGATGATGATTGTATTAAGTAGTGTTATTATATTATTGTAGTATGTCCAACGACCTTGAAGAGGATATGCAGACAACACGGAATCTCAAGGTGGCCATCGAGAAAGATCAAGAAAGTAGGACATTCTCTTCGTAAACTGAAGGTGGTGATGGACTCTGTTGAAGGAGTTCAAGGTTCTCTCCATCTAGCCTCCTTCTACTCAAGCTTCCCTCAACTTTCTTTACCTTTGCTTGATCCTAAACCCAAAACTGTCCATTTTCCCGCGAAGTCACCGCCTTCTTCTTCATCAGGTTCAAGCACATGTTGCTCCTCCGAAGAGAAACAGCTAGGTGGCTTCCACCAACCAGCTCAGCTTCTTACCTTAAGCAGCCTGAAGAAGGATGAGCAGAGGGCAGTTCGTGGGACCTCATCCCTACCCCCATTGCCATCCGCAAGGAAAGCAAAGGAGGATGGAATGAAAGTGAATGTTGTGTTTGGTGATTCCAAGATGAGGATGAGCCTGAAACACCACTGGGGTATTGCAGACCTGAGAAGAGAGATAGCAAAGGGGTTTGGGATGGATGGTGATGCTTTGACAAGTAACTTCAGTCTCAAGTATATGGACGATGATGAAGAGTGGGTTCTGTTGACGTGCGACGCTGATCTTGAGGAGTGCATCCAAGTCTACAAGTCCTCTCTTTATAAAGAGACCGTCAGAATATCTGTCTCTTCCTTGCTTTGATATTTTTTTTTTTTTAAAGTAAATCTTAAACCCTCTTGATGGCCAATTCCATCTAATTACTTTGGCTTGGTTTGCTGATCTTTTTTTGTTTGCATATTCCGTTTGAACAAAATGTATTAATTAGTTGTTGGCATCTTGTAATCTTCTGGCTGGCTGGCTCTTATATATGTGTATATATACTAGCTTTCTTTCTCTGAAAGCTATATCATGATTTTTGTGAGAAACATAATGTTTATGAACTAGAGAATCACGACCTGAAACCCACAACATGCATTAGATACTAACTCTCAACATTGGCTAGAGGTGAATGTGTTGGCTCTATAGGGCCTAGTCCAAGTTAAGCCCATGCAGATTATAACCAAAGGCAAGTACATTTGGTAGGAAGTAATACATGTATCTCTATTTGAAGGCAAAGCAAAGGAAATGGATTTGGGTGTCCTTCCTAATCAACGCAAAGCAAGATGACTCCAACAAGTTTTGTGAGTGATCATCACATCATGTTGTTGTCATTGAAGTCTTTACAAAAATTGACAACCAAACCAATTAGACTAACAACACGTTAGCCACTTTGAAGTAAATGCACACAAGACAAGAGCTGCCTGGAAGAGGTGTTGTCTCCTCTTGTCTGGAGGAAAGAGTAAAAAACAGTTGGGTTGGAAAAATCAGAACTGGAAGGGAAAGAGAGAGAGAGAGAGAGAGAGAGAGAGAGAGAGAGAGAGAGCTAACAACGATGATTGTTTATCAAAAGAAAAAATAAAAAAAGAGCTGAAGATGATTAGATCATGTACATGCTGTCGTATCAGTATTGGTTGCCGTTTTAGTATTTATTTTGTTTTAGAATGCATGCCGTTTTTGACCATCTCTCTCGTCCTCTCAAGATACCTCCTTTTCTCTTGGTTTCTCTCATCCTTCCTAAGCTCTGATCAATTCAATTCCTACGAGATTGCGTTTCGCCATTAGGTAATCTCCGATCATTTTGGTTTATTTGATCAAATATAGGCGGCATCATCTGAATTTGATCCGATTCGATTCTAAAGGGTTTATCTTTTTTTTTTGTTGCATCAAAGGAGGGTTGTTGTGGACTTTTACATTAAAGCTCTCATCTTTAATGGTATGGTGGTGGGAGCTGAAGCCTTGGGTGATGGAAATACCAGCATACTCGGCTCCAGCTTGGGCAAGCTTTATGGCGGGTGCTTTTTTGATCCTCACACTCTCTCTTTCCATGTATCTTCTCTTCGATCACCTTTCTACTTACAAGAACCCCGAGGAGCAAATGTTTTTGATCGGAGTCATCCTCATGGTCCCTTGCTATTCAATTGAGTCTGTGAGTAAACAAATCATAATAATACCATAACTTGATAGGATAATCATAATAATATATTTGCTAAGCTATATCTATTCTTTGATTCAACAGTTTGCATCACTTGTGAACCCATCCATTAGCGTTGATTGTGGCATTCTCCGTGACTGCTATGAATCCTTTGCCATGTACTGTTTTGGGAGATACCTTGTTGCCTGCTTAGGTGGGGAAGATAGGACCATTGAGTTTATGCAGAGACAAGGCCGCAAGAGCTTTAAGACTCCCCTCTTAGATCCCAATAACGATGATAAAGGAACCATTAAACATCCTTTTCCTATGAACCTCTTCTTAAAACCCTGGAGGCTCAGTCACTGGTTCTATCAAGTTGTTAAGTTTGGTATTGTTCAATATGTATGTATATATGTATATGTTCCCCCACTCTTATCTTTCCTATCCTCCTAAATCTCTTCAAGTAAACCATTTCTCTCCTTCCGCAGATGATTATTAAGTCTCTCACTGCCCTCACTGCCCTCATTCTTGAAGCCTTCGGTGCCTACTGTGAAGGAGAGTTTAAATGGGATTGTGGGTACGTCTGAGGCTCAAAACTACAGTGCTATAGCAATGAAGAAACATGTTTCATCTTATTGTTTTGTTTTTTTGTAGGTACCCTTATTTGGCTGTTATTCTAAATTTTAGTCAGTCATGGGCATTATACTGTCTGGTTCAGTTCTATGGGGCAACAAAAGATGAGCTTGCCCACATTAATCCGCTGGCCAAGTTTCTAACATTCAAGTCCATCGTGTTTTTGACTTGGTGGCAAGGTGTTGCCATTGCTCTTCTCTCTTCCCTCGGTTTGTTCAAAAGTTCCATTGCCCAGAGCTTGCAGTTGAAGACTAGTGTTCAAGATTTCATCATTTGCATCGAGGTACATACACATGTGTCCTTCTGTTACCAAAGTGCTCAAACAAATAATTTTGTTCTTCATTTTCTCTTGTCTGCCCTTCTTTTTATTTCCGAAATGGATCAAAAGTTGCTTTAACACTTGTGTTGGTCCAGTGCAGATGGGTATTGCTTCGGTTGTTCACCTGTATGTATTCCCAGCAAAACCGTACGGTCTACTGGGAGATCGCTTTACTGGATCTGTATCAGTTCTCGGGGACTATGCATCGGTGGACTGTCCTATTGATCCTGATGAGATTAGAGACAGCGAGAGACGAACCAAGGTCCGCCTTCCAAATCCTGACGTTGATATCAGAAGTGGTATGACCATCAAAGAAAGCATGAGAGATGTTTTCGTTGGTGGTGGTGAATACGTGAGTTTTCCTTGTAATATTCTTACATGCAAATAAAAATGATGAAGAGCTTTTAATCACATAGAGGCTATATATATCTGTGTGTTTGTAGATTGTTAAAGACGTGAGGTTCACAGTGACTCAAGCAGTGGAGCCTATGGAGAAGAGCATCACAAAGTTCAATGAGAAACTGCACAAGATCTCGCAGAACATAAAGAAACACGACAAGGACAAGAGAAGAGTAAAAGATGACAGTTGCATGGCATCATCATCTAGTCGGCGAGTGATTCGCGGAATCGATGATCCGCTTTTAAATGGGAGTTTTAGTGACAGCGGAGTTACAAAGACCAAAAAGCACCGGCGAAAATCAGGTTACACGAGTGCTGAAAGCGGGGGAGAGAGCAGTAGTGATCAAGCTTATACTGGATTTGAAGTAAGGGGCCGTAGATGGATCACTAAAGATTGAAGAGATCCTCGGAAACATCTGAGAAAGACCAGTTTTGGTAGCTCTCTCAGTTTGTTCCACATTTTTCTCTAACGCCAAGGTGTTTTGCAGATCACCAAGAAGCCGTTAAATATTGAATATATTTATGTACAGAGTTGAAGATACATAACATAAATGAGGCATGCTTTCTTATATAAACCACCTTCATGCTCGTTTTGTCTTTCTAACAGAACCATGTCATAATAGAATCCATCTTCGGTCTCTCTCCCTCTCAGCTTTAAGCAAGACACTGCCACGAAGTTAACAAAGGAGACTAATAAGTACCTTGTGTCTCCACATTACTCTACAATTCATCAAAACATGCTATACTTGGAAAAAGAAAACACACTTGTCAATTTATAATGTGATTTTGTAATAATCAAATAGTAATGAACATTCACATTTTCTATACTTGATTTGGTAAATTCTTGATCATAAATAGTGATGTTAATATCAAAAATGATTCTAACTGTAAAAAACAAATATTTTAAAACTAATAGGTAAAGTTTTAGATTTTTGGACTGATGATCATAGCCCAAATGGGTATTTAAAACTCATGTGACTTAATCTGGAAACTCCATTGTTTTTTATAACGAAATCCAAATCCATAAGATTGAGCGGATTTCAGATTTCGGTCCTAATTGACATATCTAGCTTCTCATTCGATGAGTCCTTCCTCATGCTCTCATTGCTTTTTTATTATCATATTATTTGTTAAATATTATAAACAATAACTTTGATTTTATTCAAATAGTATTATACTCAATCCACAAAGACTTTTTCTTTTCTGTATTATTTAAAATCATTACATGCCTTCATGTATTTGGGTGTTGACTCAAAATACAGCTTTCTAATATTAGCTTATGTTTGTTTGAGTTCATTTCTTATAATAAAAAGCTTATTTAACTTATAAATTCTTGAACGAGTTGGCTTTTTAAAAAACAAAAAGAAATCTTCAAAAGATAAGTTTAATTTTGGAATAAAAACAAGTAGGACAATTTCAACTGAATAGATTAGGAGATAAGAATGTAATGTGATCGATCATCAAATAGCTAACTAACTAAAAAAAAGAAGGTAACGATATAAGTTACAGACAGGACAAAGCGAGAGATTCGGTAAGTTGGTAAAGACACATACGAATACAGAGTTTTTAAAAATATTTAAAAAAATGAGCGTTTATTTGTTGGAGATTAGTTTGGAGATCGTCTCATAGTTTCTCGGCAACCAACTTTTGCTCTGCCTTCATTTCTGTAAAAAAAAAAGAAAAAGAAAAGAATGACGTCTTCGTCCTCCTCCTCCGCCTCTTCGTTTTGCACACTCTCCTTTCCCTTTCTCTTGTTTTCTTCTTATTCCTTGTAGCCTCCCTCCCTCTCTCTCTTTCTTGTGTCTTTGTGTACAATTAATGGCGACTTTAAATTTGAAGTTGAAGAAAAGAGATAATAATTATGGGGCAGAACCGGACAAGAAAAAGCTGGCCATGGCCGGAATCCGACACCAGTTACTGCTACTCCTTCGCCGCCGTCACCGTCTATTTCCTCTGGTCTCCGCATTCTCCGGCTGTCTCCTCCTCCTCCTCCTCTTCTCCTTTTCTTTTCCTCCTGTGATCCATCGCTCACCACCAGGGGTACATTTTACACTCATTTCAACAACTTATTATATACATAAATCAGAAAATCCTTCTTCAGTTATTTCATTTCTCTGTTTTGTTTTTCAGAGGAACAATAAAATTGCCGTGGAATCCAAGCTTCTTGTACCCGTACGTAAAAGCATTGATACATTACCGAAAACTTCTTTTTATTTTTATTTTTATAAAGACATAATGATGATGAGCCTTATTTTGGTCATCTCAGGAAAATGGGGGAAAATCGGATCGCCATTTATGGAGCTCTAAATTGTCCAACTCTTATTATGGATGCAGCAATGCCACTGAGACCTTTCAAGGTACATAACGCACCCTTATTTAACATAATATTCTCCTCTGTTTGAATCAGCTAGCTTGATGATTATTGCAATGGTGGCAGTTTTAGATAAGACGAGTCAAACAGATCGATATTTACTGATCGTTACAAGCGGAGGGTTAAACCAACAGCGAACAGGGGTGAGTTTCACATATTATTATTATATGCTACCTGCTCGGAGATCCCGTTTCTTTCTCTTGACTTTTGTTTTGGTTGGGGGGTGTAACTGCAGATAATAGACGCTGTGGTTGCGGCTTACATCCTAAATGCCACTCTTGTGATCCCTAAACTGGACCAAAATTCATACTGGAAGGATACCAGGTCCTCTTCTGTCCCTCTCTCTATATTATTATTAGTCTCCATTTGAAGGAGATTGTTTTTCTTGCTTCTTTCTGACACATGAACTTCTTTTCGTGCAGCAAGTTCGAAGAAATATTTGACGTTGATTGGTTCATTTCGCATCTCTCCAAAGATGTCAAGATCATCAAGGAGCTTCCTAAAGGAGAAGAGTCAAGACTCATTGGCCTACAGTCCATGCGTGTTCCCAGGAAATGCACACCCTCTTGCTACCTGCAGCGTGTTTTGCCCGTTCTTAAGAAGAAGCATGTCAGTTTTCTACTCCAAAAAAAAACACTAAGTTCACATCTTGATATAGTATGCTGATGATCAACTCTGGTATTGCAGGTTGTGCAGCTCTCTAAATTCGATTACAGGCTGGCTAACCAGCTGGATACAGAGCTACAGAAGCTGAGGTGTAGAGTAAACTACCATGCGGTAAGATATACGGAGAATATCAACAAGATGGGCCAAATTCTGGTTGACCGGATGAGAACCAAAGCCAAACACTTTGTTGCCCTTCATCTCAGGTACCACACAAAGAAAAAAAACATTTTCAAATGAATGTGGCTAATGAGGTGTTGCATGTTGGTTCTAGGTTCGAACCTGATATGCTGGCCTTCTCTGGATGCTATTACGGGGGAGGTCAGAAAGAGAGACTTGAACTCGGAGCTATGAGAAGAAGGTGGAAAACTTTACACGTGAGAAATAATTAAGGACCATGCTTACTTTTGATTTCCATATATATAACAACTCTTTCATCAACACAGTTTGCAATGTAATGTGTAGGAGGCAAACCCTGACAAGGTACGGGAGCATGGAAGATGTCCCCTGACTCCGGAGGAGATCGGTCTGATGCTCAGGGGCTTAGGTTTTGGGAAAGAAGTTCACTTGTATGTTGCATCAGGGGAGGTATACGGAGGGGATGCTACACTAGCACCATTGAGAGCTCTGTTTCCAAATCTCCATACAAAGGAGACACTGACCTCCAAGAAAGAACTGGCTCCGTTTGCACGCTTCTCTTCACGCATGGCAGCTCTTGACTTCATCGTCTGTGATGAGAGCGACGCATTTGTCACCAACAACAACGGCAACATGGCTAGAATCTTAGCTGGAAGAAGGTAATGCATCTATATAGTTGTGTCATATTGATGAGAAACATCCAACATCGGAAATATAAGAATTAATCTACTACTATATAAAGGGTTGGAGCCAATCCACTAATCACCAATTGGTTTTAAGTTGAAAGCCCATAATAAACCCGAATTTAACAAAAAAATATGTGCAGGAGATACTTGGGACACAAAGTGACCATCCGTCCAAACGCCAAGAAACTCCACAAAATCTTCACAAACAGACACAACATGACATGGGATGAATTCTCAACCAAGGTCCAGAGATACCAAACAGGGTTCATGGGGGAGCCAGATGAAATGAAAGCAGGAGAGGGAGAGTTCCATGAGAACCCGACCTCCTGCATTTGTCGAAAGAAGAAGGCCAATGAACAATCTGTAAAAGAGGACGAGCATGACTCATGGCCATGGGAGTACTCAGACATTGGCAACGTCCCCATGGCCACTAGAAGCGGTTTGGATCATCAATCAGAAGTTGACCATGAGATTTTCTGACTAATCTTCTCCTTTTTTCTCTTTCTTTTGAGCTGTTTTATGCAAGAATCAGTATTGTTTTCCCCAAAAAGAACATGTAATGTCATTTGAAGGGTTACAAGTAGAAAGAAAGGTGGTCATGTGTACATATATAGACCTCTTTTGTACATACATATACATTTCCATCTTTTAATCTTTCTTTAGTTCTCTTGCTTAATAAATAAACTATTGCAGTTAATCAAATAATACTGAGTTCCTCCTGATTACACATTAGACTCTTTAAGTAAATCAGCTCCAGATGTGATCGTCGCATGGATCACAACCTTCCTGAGCAATGTCGGTGACCTGAACGCCAGCGTCGTAGATCTTGCCAGCTTCCCAGTTGGCCGGAAGAACTCTCTGAGACCAGAGCATTTTGCCGTCGAAACCAGCAGTCACCACGAACCTGAACTGAAGAGGTCCGGTGGGTACTTTGTCAGTGACCCAGACGGCTCCGTGGCTTCTGGTCATGTAACTCCAGTGCGAGGAACCAACCTGAGCAATGTCGATGGCTACGACTTCGGTTTGGCCTCCTTGGTACAAGAGCTTTATCGCCAAATAGTTTGGCTTTTTGCTTGATTCTTCAACTCTCACATTCATCATCTTCTTGTTTCCGTAATCACAAGGGACTCTGTTTTTCAATCTTTGTTATTAGTATTTAAAATGATTAGGAAAGTTTAAAAATAAAAATAAAAATGGTTTGTTTGGAACCACCTCTGGTATTCAACGTCGACAACGCCTTGTTTAAGAAGATCTCTGTCGGCGCCAACAACTGGCTTAGCCATAGCCCTGAAGGCTCTGCTGCTGAGGAGGAGGTCGGTTTGGTTGCTCTTGTTTAGGTCGGTGACCATCACCGTTGTTCCTTTGCTGCTGCAAAGAGAAGGGTTGTTGCATCTGACCTGGAAGCAAGCTCCGCAGCCGGCGCCGTCTTTGTAGATGGAAGGCACCGCAGCGGCGATGTGACCAGCGAAGAAACCCGTAGCCATAGAACCATATGAGCAAGCTCCGGCTGAAAACAGTAGAAAAAAGACAGATATGAGAAAATAATATTTTTAAATAAGAAGAGAGAGAGAGAGGGAGAGGAAGGGGATGAATGAATACATGAGAGAGCAGAGGCAGAGGAGAAATAAGCGGCTTTAGAGCGGTGGAGACATCGGTCGCAGGCGTCAACGGAGAAGGAGAAGAGGAACAGGACGAAGAAGAGAAAGCAGCTTCCCATATTTTCTTTCTTTTTCTTTTTGTTTTTGCGTATTACAAAAGAGCGAAAAAGGCAACAAAACCAAATCTGAATGTGAGAGATAGACAAAGAGGAGAGTGTGAATAAATAGTGAAGGGAGAGTGTGCCAGCTCAGCATCTCAGTGTACACAACACACACACGTCATGGGTCCATACATATAGATATAGCCAGGTCCACTATATCAGATGGAAGCAGCTGGCGTGTCTACTAGTAATACTCCACAAACCAAGAAAAAGGTTACGCGTTTTGTGGAATTCACATCTAATTCGTTTGACAATGACATGCTTTCATCTCCAAAGAGTTCAGAGTTACTTTTGTTTTTTTCTTATAAAAAGAACAAAAGAACCATTCCCAGTGTGAATATGGGTAAGATGACGTGGTATTGCACCGACTCTTTGCACCACAGCTGTGTCCCTTCTCTTCCTCGGGGCTTGTACATGTCGGCTTCCTGTTTTTTTTTTTATTTGTTAACACCAATCAAGTCATTCTATTTTCTTAGCTTCTTTAATGATGGTATCCATAACAAATCAAATTTCTTACAAAATATACCATTCGGTAAACTCCTCAGAATCGCGCTTTTCCATTAACTTTTTAGATTACTGATCAATCTTTAGGCAGCATTTATTATCTTCAGCATAATCATCCTCATAGTCAACCCTCCAACTAGCTCGTTATAGCGTATTTTATGTTAGAACATTGATACTATTGTTAATGTTTTCATTTCCAAAGCTCAAAATTTAATTTTCTATGTCTTTCAGGTTTATAATCATATACTCCTAATATAGGAGTATATTCATATGATGATGTAAAATGTATAATTATTATTATATATTTATTAATCGTAGCTTTGATTCACATACATTTTTGTATTATTAGTACGTATTAATTATATGGTAAGAGTTAAATAAGAACGCTACCCAAGCATTCTTATTTTATTCATTCTTTTTTGCTTAATCAATTCCTTTTTTGGCAAAAGAACTTAAAGAAAAATAATGCTTTTGCATTCATGTGACAACTCATTAGTTTCTAGTAACAAATTAAGAAGTCTAGAAATACCTAATAATTGGACGTAAGCATTAGTATTATCACTAATCTCTACTGCTGTTCTTGTTATTCCTTTGTAAGTTTGTCTTGTTAAAATGTTGATAAGAAAACAATGAAATCTTTGGTATTCGTTAGATTGATAATAAAAAAACATCCATGTGATAACAACTCTGTCACAGCAACGGCATTGATTACGACATGTGAAAATATCTTATACTCGTCCCTCCCTATCTTCTTCTGTGTGTTAATTGTCGGTGTCATACACAGCATATAAGATTACGATTTGTCTAGATTCTCTATCATTTTATCAACTAGCTGGTTTTTCTAAGCTTAGTAGTGCAAAGGAGTTGAGCCAGGTAGAATTACCCGTATAGTGTTTTGATGTTTCTATCCGGATCCACGGATCCGTATTCGAACCGATAAATCATGTGACACAGTAAGTAACTATATTTGGATTTTAAGAAATATTTATTATTTTAACTTATTTATTTTAAAAATCTAAATTAGTTTTATTAAATGATCTGTTTTCTTCTAAAATTTTATTGAACTTTCGGATTTTATCATATATAATCAGTTAACTATTTTACTTATGATTCTTAGATTTTTATGAAGATCTTACTATGCCATCTGAAAAAAATGAAGTGAATGATGATATAGAAAACCAAATTTAGTTTGTGTTTTGTTATTGGTTCTCTTTGTTTTTTCTCTTATCGAAAGGCTATATTTTTACTCATTGGATTTAAAGGTTAATTTTATTATTCGCAGATATTAAAAAGCTTATGAATTTAAGGATTTTCATATGTTCTATTATACTATTTTAAACTAGGTGTTTTGCCCGCACTTACGGGTATAATTCTTTATAAATATTTATTAGTTGATGTTTCATTAAATTATTACTTATATTTTCAAAAAATACAAATCAAACATCAAATAATTATAAATGACAAAACTCAAACATCAGAAATATTTTAAAAATATATATTTCTATAATTATTTTGTTTAATTTATATTTAATTATAATATTTACAATTTTTTACTTAATTTATATTTAATTATAAATTTATATCTTAGTTTTATATTTTATAATAGAAAACATATTTTCTAGATAACAATATAATGCATAAGTTATTTATTTTCTAAAAAAATAATATGATATTCGTTTTAATTATATAATAATTATATAAGATTATAGAAATGATGACATATAATTAAAATTACTTAAAATCAAGGAGAACTTAACAAATTAGCAAATTCACTTCTTAACTAATCTTACTTGAATGATGATTTATATTTAATTAATAATAGATAATTTTTCTATTTTACTTTTAAATTATATAATATAAAACATATTTTCAAGATAACAACATAATACATAAGAATTATCTTATTTTCTAAAATTATAATATTATTAGTATAAATTTATTTTAATTAAAGAATAATTATAACTTTTTATATCTTAACTTTAAATTTCTAACAGAAAAATATATTTTCAAGACAACAACGTAATACATAAGAAGTATCTTATTTTCTAAAACTATGATACTATTAATATATATTTGTTTTAATACATAATAAATTATATATAACATTATAGAAATGATGATAAATTATCAAAGTTACCTAAAATCATGGAAAATATGACAAATCAGCAAACATCAAATTCACTTCTTAAATAATAGTATAGATTTTTTACATGTTAATTTTCAATTTTATAATAAAAATATATTTTCAAGATAACAACATAATATACAAGAATTAACTTATTTTCTAAAATATCATATTATTAAAATAAATTAGTTTTAATTATATAATCAATAATAAACAAAAATAAAAAATTATGATAAATGATCAAATTTACCTAGGATCATGGAGAACTTGACAAATCAGCAAATTCACTTTTCAAATAATAGTATAGATTATTTTTATTTAATTATTAATAATATAATTTTATATCTTAATTTTAAATTTTATAATAGGAAAATATATTTTCAACATATTAACATAATCCATAAGAATTATGTTATTTTAGAAAAATATAAAATTATTAATATAAATTCGTTTTAGTTATATAATAAATATAATAATTTTTATATCTTAATTTAAAATTTAAGTTTTATATATAAAAATATATTCAAGATAACAACATAATTCACAAGGATTATCTTATTTTCTAAAAATATGATATATTCATATAAATTCGTTTTATTTATAAATAAATTATATATAAANATAATAAATATAATAATTTTTATATCTTAATTTAAAATTTAAGTTTTATATATAAAAATATATTCAAGATAACAACATAATTCACAAGGATTATCTTATTTTCTAAAAATATGATATATTCATATAAATTCGTTTTATTTATAAATAAATTATATATAAATATTAAAAATATATAAATAAACAAAATTTCCTAAATTTATGGAGAACATGACAACTAAGCAAATTTCCTTCTTAAATAATAGTATAGATACTTTGTATGTGATTGAAAATAAAAACAACAAAATTTAAGTACTTTCAATATTTCTTTATGATATAATAGTCTTGTTATGCTCGTTGTTTTTATACAAGCCCATTATCTGATTTGGCCCACTCCAATTAGCAATCAAATTCAATTGTAATCTTGACAGACTCTTATTAAATACCTTTTCGCTATTCTTATCGGATGCCGTGGACCGCCCACACCGACCATCCATTGGTCGGCAAAACTCAGAATATTCACACATGTACTATGTTTCATATTATACCTTCTGAAAGCACCAAAAACCTTGTTCCCATTAAAGTTATGCACATTAAATATATAGACTTGTCAGTACAATTTTCCGGCAACACCTTGGTTAAACGTGAACCTAGTGCTAATTAGTAATTACCACTGTTCGAAACTACGCTAGGCGCTACTCGGGCGGTGGCCCCGGGCCTAGCGAGTTATCAAAAAATCGGGGATTAAGTGGGATATACGCGGGGACTAGTTTTTAAATATTTTTTATTTTATTTAATAGATAAAATTAAATATGTAGTTTAAATATACATCATAATGTGAAAATTTATGTAACTCAAATTTATATCAATAATTAACTTTAATACAAGGTATTTTACATATATGTATTAATGTATATATATAAACAAGTTTAGATAGAAATATGTATATATACTATGTCACTGAATGATGCAAATATGCATTAAAAAAAAATTTATTTTTTTCTAATTTTTCTTGAAATATGTGGGCTAACACTTACAGAAAAATCAGGTTTTTCAATAAATGCTAAAATCAGAAGTTTAGGCTCCTCATTGTTGATAAATAATTACCTAATCACATTATAAATTAGTATTAATGTATGTTAAAATTATTTTCAGGATACATGGGCATCATTTCTATTTTTCCAACATGTATTTTATTTAAATTTCATATTTCACTTAATCTGTGGGCAAA